TCTTCGCATACCTCTGGCTACCTGGACAACCTTCACAGCTGGCTTTGTAAATTGTACAGACATCCCATGTCCCCATTCGTATTTTTGATTTCTTAGAGAGAATGCACATGGGTTGGTTGACTGGCTTCTCGAAAGCCTTCACCAGCCCGGATCATTTTGCCTCTCCGATTCGAGCGAAGAGTAAAACTGTTGTTATTTGAACTTTTTGTATCGGTAAAATATTTTCTGCATGTTAAAATTTCTCTAGCAATTTGAAAGATTTATTGCTGTGGGGTTGCAAGCCATACGCCCGACCCTCCCTCTTTACCCGGGCTTGAGACCAGCTAGAAAACCGGCGAACTAGTTAGCTAGGCCAGGTTTAGTTACGAACTATTCACAGAAAATGTTAAGACAAATGCGGTCTCATGGAAACCGACATAGCACTTGAACTACCAATTTAGATGGAGTTTCCCCAGAACACTCCTGCAGAGATAAAATTAAGAGCTGAGTTGTCTTTGATACGCCAGGTACCCAGACTCCTGCTATGATTTCCTTAATTTGAACATAATCTTAAACGTAGTATCCACTGTTTGCTGTGCACATGGTAGGGATTTGGCTCCAGGTAAGTGCAATCCTAAATTTTCATCAAAAACGACATAGTTTCCATGCCAAGAGAAATATGGTCATCAGTAAACATTGCAAATGCATACTATCATGTAAAATACTCTATAGCTCCTTCTTGTATTCATCTTGTAAATGTACTTCCAATGATGTTTAATTCATAGTGGCATCCTATGCCATTTTGCAGCTGCGTCAGACTTTCTTCACTTCCTGAAATTGAGTTCAAGCACGTGGAGGCATAGCACTCAATTAGATATATGTTGTTTATCGATTGGCAATAACTTTCATCAGGAAATGGAATGAATTTTGAGTTGTTGCTCAACTTCAATGGTGATCTTCGTGAAAGATTTACAAATTAACATTTATAAGAATCTGTCCCGATTGCTCGGCAATCGCGATGCGCATACTAAAGTACAATTAATTCATACGGTACTACAAGGCTATATTTATGAAGATTAATAGTGTTAAGTGGAGCGGTTGATCCACCACTCTCAGTCCATTGACTCTATACTGAGCAGGTGCAGTAGGAATCACGCAGCGCTAGTACCACTAATGTGAAAAATACTTTTAACAGCAAAGTCAAAGGGTAGAAAAATGGTCGAACTATATATACAGAATTTGAAAGTTGCACGAGCACTTTGAAATGATTGTGGGTGATTCATAGCGGCCTAGACGTCATCAGCCCACAGAAATGTATCACTCTTGTCAGGTCAAATTATTCTATCATAGAACTGTCCTATTTTTAAAGAGAATTCAAGATAGAGAAATTAGGGCGCTACTTTAGTGAATGCTATTTTATAAGCAGTCCATCCTGAGTTTACTTAGGTATCTCTGCTAATGTGTCCCTATGGTCGTAACTTCAGCTACGCTTCTTGTCGTAAGTCGCTGTTCAATCACTCTAAGCTTCTCGGGGACTTAGTGTCTGCCGAGCAGGTTTTCGTGGTTGGTAGCCGCATGGGCTGTTTTCCAGTTCAACAACGTTCTCAATTACTCTTCAGGAAAGCCTTTTAGGACTAAGGAAAAGACCTGGTATTTATTTGATAAGGTTTTATAGGTGGCTGGTGGTGCAATGCAAACTACTTCCTGCATTTCGGACAGCTCAGCAAAGGGAAGAGGAGTAACCACTTTCTTGGGAGGTATGTCAATGAAGATGGGGAATATCAATATCTCTAAGTAATCGCAAGATTGATATTCACCAGTTATGGGGCATGAAATTCCTTTTCTAGTAAAATAATTTGCCCTTGAAGTAGGATACTATCCCTAGTCATAGTAAGTCACTGATTTCCAAATGCCACACTTTTCAGGAAAAAGTATTATATTGCATACTGTCGAATGCTCTAACTCAAACCAGAGGCGACAAAGAAACAGGGAAGTGATGATTGTAAAGTGATACTGGTAACTGACGCTTTAGGTGAAATCACAATCAAGACAACAATTTCAGGCCTAGTGCAGTATTTTTCATCTAATATAGTCTTCTTTCATTGTTTTTGAGGTGAAACAAAGTAAAGCTGCTGGTCTATTCCGCTGAATTTCGGCTATATTTTCCTAAATTTTGACAGATACCGCCTATTAAAAGTAGCCCAGAAAATATGAAGAGTGGAAAGTAGGAAGTGTTTACAGACTATTTGGGAATCGATCACCTTATTTTTCCAGACGAGGCACTGGTGGGTTGTTTGAAGCTAAGTTTTAATTTATCTTAAACGCAACAGCGTTTGTGAAGCTAGATTTAGTCAAAAATCGCACTGATAGCTTTGATATCTGATTTGTTTTTCTGTTATCTAACTAACCACAAGAATCATCAAAAGACTCGAGTGGCTACATGCTAGCAAGACATATCACAATGAGACTTTTAGTGAAGTACTCCTTTTCGACTTTCCAACTTTTGTTCAGCTGTGCGCCTTCATATGCTTCAATAACTAGACGGCTGTTTCCTGGCGACTTTTCGTCTTGAAAGCTCATGCGCGTATACATGATCTGTTTTGTGAAGAATACTGTGGGCTCTGCTTTATATTCTACCATGGAGTTACCCTAGTGACAACGCATTGAATTTCAAGAGATATTTTGCATGTTACATAGATTACGAAATTCAGTCTTTGGAATTTGGTGTCGTCACAGATACAATGTCAGTTATATTTTGCTTATTAATCCCATTCATCTAAACAAAGAGGCTGTTTATTAAGAGTCACAATTCATTTCCCTGTGGATCCCTATTACTCCTTGCTTTTGCACTGATGAAGAAGAGTGCTGTGTTTAATCAGCCGTCTTCGGATAACCAATTTAAACTGTTCTGGGACCAAATCACTGCAGTTAAGTCCGCATCCATTCCTGTCATTTAATCACTTATTAAATTGTGGATTTACTCTATTGAGCAGCCGGCATCACACGGGATACTTTTGTTAAGTCTATTGTCATCGATGCATTTAATAAACGCTTTTAAAATACCCTCTAGAACATAAGGTGGGCGTATGTGGGTCCTAAAAGTGGAATATTGAAATTTCCAATTGTAATATTCTGATTATACCCGGTGTAAGTGTGTCCTTTAAGCTGTATGGTGCAATCTCGAAGTTCTTATATACTTTCTAGACAACTTCAATGAGGACTTCAAGATGAAGTGGTTACATTTGATCATCGATAATGTGTTGATAAGTTCAAGTGATCGATCCTTAAGCCTCCTCGGATCAGAGAAACTCATCTTTCAAGTGCCGAGTGTGGTCTGTAGCAAATCAAAGCCGAAATATCAATAAATGCATTCAACGGTGTTGCTACAGTAAGGTGACAGATTTCCTAGGACAGACGTCAGTGTGAAAAACCTGTGCAGTATTATTGAGAGACAGTGATTGTTCTACTACTAGAAAAGACCTTTAGGTAGTCCAACAAGTTTTAAGTAGTCAACTAAGGCCTCACTCATTATATTTTTAATTTATCCGACACATACTTGGGTTTTTTTGTTAATGTGAAGACAATATTTTTGTATATTTCTTAATGTGCTCCACTGAACGACTAGCTATCAGATTGTACTCACTAAATAATGTCAGAGAGGACAACAACCATGTAATTTCATGTAGGAAATATATATATGACCTTTTTAAATAAGGGAGTTCAAATAAAAACATACATAGTCAAATTTGACAATTAGGGAACACCACGAAACATGACTTTTGTGAATTTCAGCTCGCTCAAATCTTTCCCCAAACAACCCCACCTTTTTAAAAGCCCCAAATTCTGGTGTCTTTCTATTCTCCAGAAAGATTACATACAGGGTCAACTAGAAGTCAGAGTAGTTAGCTCCCCAATGACCTAATTTAATAAAAGAAGGAAGTCAGCTAATTATTCTGTGATAATATGAGTAAGTCGACGTGATGTTCAAGGTCACTACTGAGTGTTGAAGTTCACGTACGCCATGATGCCTAACACAAAACGGAAATGGAAGACTGTAGATACCTTCGCGGCTAGCTTGTGTTTTTGTGTCGTACGTTGCTTTCCACGCGCATTCCTATTTCTGCATTCTAAACTAACCCTAAGGCAGTCATCTGATACGAAGCATGTAGGCCAAAACAAAAAACACCTAAGAGAAACCTAAGAGACCACCAATCACTTAGAATCCAAGGTATTAATATTGACGGGAGAATTACATGGTGCGTATTGGTTTCAACTGCGACTGAGGACTAGCTAAGACTTATTTCAAGATTTTTGCTTCTTCTCTTCTGGATGTATATGTGTACCTCGCGAACAAAACAAAGCATTTTAAAACTGCATCTTTTTAAAAGCAGTTTTTCACCATGAAATAAAGAGACAGTTAAGTGCTGGTCACGTTCAAGAAAACTGGACCTGTGCAGACTGTCATGCTTTCAGTCTACGAAAATTTGCCTGTTAATATTTTTTCTTGCAACAAATGCCTCCAGTTTTAACTGCGGTAGGGTGAGACATGAAAATACATGTTTAGGGAACCTACGTATAGCTGGAAATGTGACATTTTTGATTGCACACTAGTCAGTAACTAGTGTAATGTGTCTAGTCCTATCTTCGGTGCCTCCAACTATCTAATACCAACAATGTGACATTCTGTTGATGAAGACATATTGTTACTACAAATACTCGTAAGTGAATATAGAAAAGTGTGTATTCTGAATGGCAAAAATGGTTGAAATCTAAACAAAAGATTACAAATCTGAGTTTTAGCCACGAGATTATGTAACTCCTCAGAACTCCAGAAGTTGGATTACTCACTTTGTTTGCACAATGCATTAAGAAGCATAATGCTACAGACTTACAAGCTGAAGCGGAAACTGTGGACAAATACAGCTGGACATTTAAAAAAGTCGTCAATTTTTCGTGAGATGATGTCTGGCAGACCGGATACTTTGAATCAACTAGCTGACGTAAATTTCTTATTTAAAAATATAAGAAGACTTTCTAATACTGGGTGTTTACCAAATATAGTTGTGGTGTTTAGAAATAATGCGGCACATCGAAATGGAATAAGTCAAAATTGTATTGTGTATCGTGTCAGTATACGTGTACGGAAAATAAATTTATGCAATCTTTGAACTACAAGCATTCTGCTATACTTCTGAAATTTATTGGCCTCACTTTCATACAGCAAGATAAATTGTCATAATGGGAACTTTGCAGTCTTATACACTGTGATATGCGAAGGTAGCTTCTATCCATGTGTTATATTTGCTCCGAGGATCTTAAGGACAATATTGATGTGTCGTATGTCGCTCATGATATGCACGTGTTCAGCTCCCGGTAAGACGTAATATTTGGTGCCTGGCCAGTACTTACAATATTCCAAACTGCGAATACTGACAGTGCCATCTCCATTACCAGGAACTAATAGTGGCACCTGGTCTGGGAAACCGTTATGAAATAGATTAGGTGGAGAATAAACAAGTTTATCTGTAGTACTCAAATTTGAACCATGGATGCAGTGAATTTCATCAATACCACTTGGCATTTCAAGTCCATCGACAAGAGAATGAGTGTCTTTCCACATACTATATCCTGGGACAAAAAGAATTAAAAAGGGATTAATAATGAGACAGAAACAACTCGATAAAATATTATTTGTTATAGGGTAAATTTCGCACTTACCGGTTAATGATTATGTTGGACTGACATGCCTTGCTTCTGTTGGCATATCGGCTTCTCGTGTGGAAGCTTCATTGATGCCTGAGTATTAGCACGGCGTCGTTTTGATGGTGGTGAACTGTGATTCCTTCCTGTTTTAGACACTTCACCGCATGCACTTTAATTCACTGTAACTGGTAATGGTATTCCGACTTAGACGCAAACCCTGCACCCATCGTATCAAACACTAAGACATTATCTACTTGCCCACAAGAGCCACGTTTTGTGCCACAGATATGAGATGTTGTTTACTTATGGGTTGATTTATCGTTCTTCGTTGCCCAATGGATGATACTTCGGGGTTTTAAACTATAAGTGCAAGAATTGAGTCTTCATGGTTCATCTGGTTGACGATTCCAAAGCAGAGAGAAACGCAAATCCTGGACGCTGCTTCTATACACCATCAAAACTATTAGATAAATAATTCATGTCTTTGATTGCGTAATTTTATCGATCTTTGTTTAAGTAGAGTAAATTAATGCTATGGACAGATGGCATGGAGACATAGTTTGTAGGAAAATCCAGTTTACCATTTTCTGACACCCATCATCTCCGTAATTAACTTATAGTAAAAAAGCCAGTGCTGAAAATTCAGCATCCAATTTTAGAAACAAAACAGCTGACGAGGGAAATTACCAGTTTTATCAGAGTGTAAAATAAAACAAAAAGGGAAGAGCAAGTACTTCAACGAAGAGTTCCTCTGTAGTGACGTTATTCAAATAACTGTACAATTGAATTTATATGCATGCCATTCACAATGTATTCATCAGATTAGTAAATTCGTCATGGCGATCACAAAATATTTTGCGATTGGCAAAGAGCTTGCGAAATGTGACCGAAGATGTGTGGACAAGCTGACATCAGTGCACTGAACTACGGAATCAGTTCGTGCGAAATTGATTGTTATTAATTTATTAATGAGAAGGGAGGGGAAAATATGACGCTTAAGAAACTGGGAAATCATTTAGGAAACGTAAATGAAATGAAAACATCTTGTCATACACTAATGATCAGCTAGAAAAATAAGCAAAATATACGGCCACCATGAGTAATTTTATAGAAAGTTTTCAAACCACTTGACACAAAGAAATGTAAATGTCTTGTTAGCATCAGTATCGACAAGATTTAATATTATTAAGCCAGTGAATTCACTACAAAACTTGTTTAGTCGTGTGACCAGTTTAAATAGTCTTAACAAAGTACTTGAAATTTATTTATTTTTGGTTACAGCTTGATGCCACACCGTATTTTTAGTACAAGTATGGAATTTTCAGCTTTGATATCGGTAGCCCAAATTTTGCAGGCCGACCATAGATATCGGGTGTGCGTCGACAGGGGATCGAACCTCGGACCATATGCATGGTCGGCGAGAGTCCTAACCACTGTGCCACCGACGCATGAAAAAGACATATACAACCTTCCTAGGCTTTTTAACTGAACTGCAGAACTAATTTTGGATGGTCTTCCTATACAGTGAATTTATACACTTCGTCGTCCACTTGTCTGGATACCGATTTCTACTGAAAACGTCCTACATAGTGCATTTATCTTGACTAAAATAGCAGAAAAATCTAATCACTTGGCCAAATAGGTTTTTCGCTTAAACAAAATGAAACTGTAAGGTGAATATGTCGTCTGAATATTCCATCTGTGCTTTCTAATCTGTCTCTGCCTTTATTAACAAATCGGTGAATAAAATACTGCCAGTGTATCTTTACTCAGTTGGTAGGGCTGTTGCCAAATAGGCGCAGACATTTACATCGGGTCACCTGTGCCCTATGAAGAGTTTGGTGTGTCATCCATATAATAAAGTTCTGACTAATACCACTTACTGATAATTATGAAATTGAAGTAGTAGGGACATTGTGAAGCTACCTAAACCTGAAAATTGAAGAGAAGGTGTGTATTTATTGTGCGACTTAAAAAGCAGAAAAAATTTCTCCTTCGATGTTTCAGTTTTTCTGACCAGTGAATAAGAACCTCACGTTTTACTAAAGATAAATCAAATAAAATTGCCACACTGATTGAATTCAATCAAATAAGTTAATTGATGATATTTAAGAACAATCGAAAACCCAAGACTGATAGTGATACTAAAGGTGAACTAATAATGCATAGCATATTCGTAATTGCCGAAAATCTGCAAGTGATTGGTTCAATGGAATCAACAGTGGCCACATAAAAGCAGTAATGAATAAAATTCCAAATTCTTTCACTACATAACTGGAGTGGTAATGTTGACACGAGAAATATCATATTGTATTGTGTAAAAAATAAGTGCATCTAATCAAGCAATAATAATAATGAAATGAAAATTAATTGATAGTAATCACGCTGAGGATTAGTCTCTATGGTTACAGTATTTACTTGGATTTGTTTGAAAACCTTTAAATCACTTGTCGTCCAGACGTAAGCAACTAGTTCAGCAGACTGATGAAAGCGATAACACAAGTATTAGAGCAACTCTACCATAATAGACCAATTTACCAACTTTTAGAAATGATGACGCACAAAGTGAACAGTAAAAGTTTGTAAAACATGTGGTACCAGACGTCGATTTCCACTAAACACTGATAGTTTACATTATCATGTGAACAGAAGGAGACATTATATGATCAACTTCTTATTCTATTACAACAGGGATACTTTGTGCACAACCTATCGATGCGTGAGTCTGTTACGTAATAACTCACCCTGAAATAGTCATAAAACAGAAGACTAAATGAGAGTTATAATAATGTGGTGATATAAGGGAATTTGTTAATACGACCAGTTTTTATGTTACCACTTGATTTTTTTCTCGAATTCTATTTTTCATGATTGTTAAATTACTCGCTGCCAGGCACATTACTTAGGATGACGTTTTAGGAATTAAATAGTTGTAAATAATGATGGTCATTGTCTTCTGTTATCCAGTGGTTATAAAACCACAGTTCTTGATGTGCAAGTGGCTCCTTTTTTAAACTTGCGAAGGAGTTACTCATGATAAATGTTTATTCTGAAAAAATGTTTTCAAATAAATGAATTATATTTATCAATGATATCAAGAATGCATAAAAAGAAAGTAGAAAACAAAAACAACAAGAGAATCTGTTTGCTTACCAACTGTGTAATTTATGTCATTGAAAAAGCTTTCATAGTCAGCTGTACTGTAATTTTTTGTCGGTGTGATAATAAGTGGTTCTGAGGCTGGCCATAAACGGGCATCTGGGAACATGAATGTAAGCGAAGGCATAGAACGCTGGACGTAACGGAAACTCAGTGGACTACGTAAAAACACCCCGAAGTTATCACCTGAAAAGTATGAAATTTAGGCATTTTTAGACAAAAATGTGACTGAAAAATAAAAAATGTAGCCCGGAGATAAAGATTCTAAGGTTTTAACAAATAGTAAATCGGTGATTACAAGTTTATTCGCTCTTCATCAGTACCATCAGTGTGACAGCATATATGTTCCTAATAATTACATCTGCAAATTAATTATATTCAGCACCTGTATAAATGCAGGTGTAAGGTTGCCATATTAAACGGAATATGGAGCAAGAGGAGAACTCCTCCACACTGGTGTAGTGATGCTTGGGTATAGAATAAATATTGAAGTATCTTGTGAGAATGTTGCTATCACTCATTGATATTACTACCACTTAAAAATCACCTAATCACATACATAGGCAGCTTTTTAATACAATAAAGAGCAGTCATCTGAAGAAAGATTTGAATAATGATTAAGTCAAATGATGTGAGAGTTCAGAATTATTAGGCATTTTTAATTGTTCATCCATACTATATCCGATATAAACGAAAGATTTTTATTACAAACCAACCGAATACGCTTTCTGGTTTAAAATATTATTACCCTAATGTTTTCGTATCTTTTTAATTTCAGTGGAGATTTCAACCTGAATGATCATCAAACCTGATTACTTTGGAATTTTCTTGTTTCACTGCATCCCAAGTGTAACAGTGCGCTTCAAGTTTTTCAAGTTTCAGTAGCGATGGTAACGTTGTCGGCATGTTGCATTGCATAATACTTAACTTTTAAGCTAAATAACAATTGACAGAATGTTATTGTCCCACCTGAAGCACACTGGGAATCCTCACGATGATATTTCCTCATTTTTTAAATGAAATACAGAGAAATAGACCTGAAAAGTAATCAGAGATGGGCTGGAATGAAAGACAAAACGATTGTAACTGAATGATTAAAGCAGCATAAGACGGAATAAATCTGTTGGTTGGAAAATTCTGTAAGCTAAAGGATTTAAGCAGACCACCGTTCGGTGCAATAAGTGTTACCGTGTCTGGCAAACTGAGGTATTCCTCTCACTTTACTCGTGTATCCAGCTTCTGGAAAATGACGATTATAAGTGCACAACAGGTATTTAAATCCAGATAAATGATTAACAGGTTTCATGAGGATACCGAAATTGTCAACGCGCCAACAATACCAACGACGGGGTCAGAGCTACCAGTGAACACCAATCCCCCGACGAAATCAGAAGTCCTGAAGGCAATCAAGATGCTAAAAGCTGGAAAAGCAGCAGGACCAGATGGAATCCCAGCAGAAGCATTGAAAATGGACTCAGAGACAACAGCGGACTTGATGACGCTACTACTGGAGAAGGTGTGGAAAGAAGGCAAAGTACCCGAGGATTGGAAGAAAGGATACTTATTCAAACTAGCAAAGAAAGGAGACTTAAGTCAGAATACTAAGCCGCATCATCCAGGAGAGAATCAAACAAGCTCTGGATGAAAAACTTCGACCGAAACAGGCTCGATTCAGGAGAAACAAGTCATGTATTGATCAGATCGCCACATTACGGATCATCATTGAACAAAGCTTGGAATGGCAGTCATCTCTCTATCTCAACTTCATCGACTTTGAAAAGGCCTTCGACAGCGTCGGTCGAGAGGTGCTTTGGCAACTACTTCGCTACTACGGGGTGCCACCGACAATTATACATCTCATCCAACAGCTGTATGACAATACCGCATGCCAAGTAATCCACAACGGGAAGCTTACGGAATCCTTCGAAGTGAGGACAGGAGTAAGACAAGACTGCCTACTATCGCCAATGATTTTCCTGATTGCAGTAGATTGGATAATGCGACAGACAGCGGGGAATGAGGAAACAGGCATGAAATGGACCCTAACGAAAGACTTGGAGGATCTGGACTTCGCCGATGATATGTGTCTGATTTCCCACAAAGTGGAAGACATGCAAGCGAAAAGCAACAAGTTGGCAGAAGAAGCATCAAAGATAGGAAGGACTTCAGGTGAACATAGAGAAAACAGAGGTAATGAAGATTCCTGGGCAACGTCACCCATAGCAACAACAACAACAGACAACAATCAGCCAGCATAAATGGAAGGAACCTGAAAGAAACAACCTCTTTTACCCACCGACCTGGGAAGCATCCTTTCAACTACAGGCAGACGGAACTGACGAGGATATCAAAGCAAGAATCGGAGAAGCAAGACAAGCTTTCACTACCCTCAAGCCTGTGTGGAGGTCAACAGCACTCAGCATCAAAAATAAGATCCGGATTTTCAACTCCAATGTGAAGTCAGTGCTACTATACGGATGGATCAGAGACTTGGCCAGCGCGTCATAAAGAGCATCTCAAACAAACTACAGACCTTCATTAACAGTTGTCTTCGCTCAATACCACTCAAGATCAGATGGCCCGTCAGAAAAGATCATCAACAGAGATCTCTGAGAGCGAACCAACCCAACAGGAACCGATTGTGAAACAAATAGGCAGGAAGAAATGGAGATGGACTGGCCATACTCTGAAGAAACCATCAAGTGAAATCACTAGACAAGCCACTGCTCGGGTGGAACCCGGTCGAAAGGGAAGCGGCGAGTTGGTCCTCAGTGAGAGGGTGACTTGGAGGAGGTCATGTGAAGAGGAGATGAAAACGTGTGGGCAGACTTGGAGCCAGGTGAAGACTCTAGCAGAAAACCGAACGCAATGGAGACGCACGGTTGAAGCCCTATGTTCCTTTAGGAATTAAAGGAAACAATAATAATTATAATTGGTGATTTTAATTATTTGCTAGTTTTTAGCGCAACATTGTTGTTGTCCATTCTCACTGTACCTAACTGTTAGCTGGCTGATACAATTAATGACTTCGTATTGATATAAATTTCAACTGATTCATGAAGAAGAATGTCACTTATGTGGAAATGATTGATCTCACTAGTAGCTGGGTTTCTGTTGCGCAATAGTTACGATATGATGAAGATGAATACGCACTGTTTGAGGTTGTTTATGTTTTAAATTCTCTGAGATCAACAATCATTGAACATCAGGTTACAGGTACTCAAAAATACTTAGGTTGTAGTTGATTCTGTTTAGTTTATGATTTCATGAAAAATCTCAGTGTGCAACGAAGGAGAACTAAATGCTTAGAAAATTTCGTCTAGTGATTGCTGTTACTCCCAAATGGCAGTCTTTTATCCATCATTCTGAACTACCCTTTCAATGTTCACTCTTGAAATAAATGCTGTAGTCTGACATGAGATGATATGGATTTCGAGACTAGGCAAGATCCTGTTATGCGTTGAACTAGGTCAACAGGAGATCCCCAAGAGTCTAGAACGGTCATTAGAAGACATAAATATGATAACAGCTTTATCCCAAACAGTACTTTTGGTGTAAATATGGAATTTTCAGCATGTGGTACAGTACAGTCAAATCATTAGCCTACTTAACAAAATTGGCTTCATCAGAATGGGACAGGTTATGTAAGAAGAAAGAACACAGAAAAGCAGAAAGAACAGCTCCTTGGGGGACATCAGCTAGAATAAGTGAAGCAATGGAGGACTTCCCATTGTAAACAGTGTACTGTTTTCTAACAAAAAAAATAAGAATGCAACCACTTATTAGTCCAGCAATCTGCTTTTGTCGCAGCAAGCTTGTTTAACAAAAGATGCCTAGCTACTCAGTTGAAGGCAGATGTGTAATCTAGGAAGGCACACCGAACAAATTTGGCACCTCTGTCTAAACTGGAGAGAGTATTATGATATAAAACGAAAGGGGCATCTTAAGTGCGCCTACTATGTTTATAAGCAAACTGATAAGGGTTGTTAAAAGTCATCAATGAAGGTTCAAAGTTAGGTAAGATCAGTTTTTCCATTATTTAAAAAAGGTGGAATAATGGCATTGTGTTTAAGCTTTACACTTGGTCCACTTGATAATTTAGGCACAGGCACAATTTTAACGTCCTTCCAAAACGTAAGCACTATGTTTGTGAAAAACGATTCATTAAAAGTTCCAGTAAGAGGATGACATAAAATGCCAGCACATTGTTTGAGGATAATAGCTGGTACGCCATCTGGACCAAAGGACTGGGTAGGTTTCAGGGATTTACGACACTTGGGGACATCGTTTGTATTAAAACCGGAGAAGCGGTCATTGTTTGCACTTGTAGCATTTGAGATCATAACATCAGCTAGACGACATATTAAGGACATATTCAGAGCACCATCATCAACTGAAGAAGGATCATTGATTATTTACTTACCCCTAGTGACTTTCTTAAACAGCTTCAACATATTTGAGGAGGTTTCGCATGATAAGAACTATTAATTATAGATCATAATTTATCTCTGTATTTCTGATTTAATTAGAATGTTGAGTCTCCGGGATTGTCTTTCACTTTGTATAGCCTTTATTTTTCTCAGAGAAGCTTTTTGACCTGAAAAGAGGAGAAGCTGTCAAATCTTAAGGAGATATGGGAGTAACATCTGTGTTTTGTTTCCTTGCCAAGGTTCAAGAAGGCTCTTTTTGTACAGCTTCCCGTATATTTTGTGCAATAGACGAATGATACAATAACCAAAATTAAATAGTGGGGCTCTTTTTCGAGCTTCAAATATGCCGCAGTTATTTTTAAACACTAGATCAACAGTATCTTCTAGTCGTGTTGAAAAGCTGACAACATCTTGATGGCCTAATGATGTAAGGAAACTCTAGTCACAAGAAATGAGGTCACCAGTAAAAATAATTGAAAACTAAATAGTAGTATGCACTCCTATCGAGTTTTATATGTGTAGGTAACAGAAGGGATTTATAAAATTAACAGGAATTTGTTTAACATAAAACATGGAAAACTCGATGAGATAATTTGGTTAGCATTTAAATATATCATTTACAATTATACTTCGCTTACCACTAGCTTCAACTTTTAAGGATTTAACAGATCCACCGAACGGACAGCTGGAAAAAATGACTGATTTAATATATTTTCTTTTCCAAGAGATTGTACGCTGCTTTAAAAACGCTAAGGCATATAAGCATCCCATACTATGTGGATGTAGAACAACACGTCGCTGTTTCGCATTTTCATAGGTTTCTTCAATTAGTAATCTTAGATTTTCAAAAAACTGAGCATTTTCGTCTAAGGAGTAGGAAGAAAATACGAGTGTATACTTTTTTAATAAAAAATGGACAAATACTTGGCGCCTTTCTAAAGTCATATGGTGCACCTCGCATTGTGAAGTTTGACACATAATATGGATCCTTCTTTAGGACATAGACTAAAGAACCGAAGTATTCTGAGAAAACATTTGGTGTTTCATCTAAATTTTCAATTGACCATGTTTCACCCCATCCAGGAAAGATTATTTCAACTCCTTCAGTATCTTCAGTTCGACCAGTTGTTGGATTATAATTCAACCTATGAAAGATATTAGATACTATGCTCCAAAAAAGTGTATATATATATAAACCAACTTAAAATAATCAGAAAAGCGTTTAATGAAAACAAAAAATTTCATATTTAACCATAGCGGTAGAGGTTGACGATTAGGATCATTTTTGAAGACTGCAAAAGCTTGACTACCCGCAGTACCAGGGATCATAACAAGTGGATACTGCTGTCCATTGTTTGTTGGCGCCGATTCAACTTTTCCGTTCACTCTTACATAATCATTGATAATGAATAAGATAAAAAATATTAATAACTAATATATTTATTAGTCGTCTTTTTGGCAAGACAAAAGGAAACCTACTGAATTCGAGTGTAGAGGGAATATATTCATGTCTCCAATATTAAAAATAATTTGTGCAGGTTACATATAGCATGTATATATATATATATATATATATATATATATATATATAAAGTTATTAGATGTACGTCAGCTGTTGAGTATTATGCATGTGTTTAAATTCAAAGTAGACTTCGACTACAAACTTTGATCTTCTTTCTGGTAGTGATTTATTTTTCGAACAAGAAAAGAGACTTTAATGCTAATCTCTGAAAAATTGTAGCATTTTTGTTAAACTTTGTTATTAGTATTATTATCATCATCACTATTATTAGAATGCCTAAATCATCGATTCAAGTTATCTTTACCAAAAATAAAAAGAAACTCTAATCATCGCTTAAAAACTTATCACTAGGTTATATCTGATTTTCATTAATGAGAGAGACAAAGTTCAGCTTGTAAATAAGACGGTATACTCAAATTTAATGAAGTTTTCATGTTAGCTATCATCTATTAAAACACCTTTTTATTATAGTGGAATTCAACAAACATAAATGTTAAATAAAAGGCATATGTATTATGTACACTGAGTATTAATTAATGCACAGGAAATAGCAGAGTTGCTTGCCGATTGTATTGTCCAAGGTGGAGTTTCACTGTATTATTATTTATTATTGTTCCCTTGGGTTCCTAGTGGAACATAGGGCTTCAACTGTACGCCTCCACTTGCTTCTGTCTTCTGCTGTACTTTTCACTTGCATCCATGTTAGTCCATACTGTTTCAACTCTTCTTCACATGATCTCCTCCATGTCACCCTTGGACGTCCCACTCGCCGCTTCCCTTTCGCGTTCCACTTGAGCGATGGCCTGACTCGCGATGTCACCCAGTGGCCTCCTCAGTGAGTGTCCAATCCATCTCCACTTTCTCCTGCATATTTTTTGGGCGATTGGTTCTTGTTGGTGATTCTTTCCGGCCATCTGACCTTCAGTATAGAGTGAAGACAGTTGTTGATAAAGTTCTGCAACCTGCTGAAAATATTCTTTGTGACCCACTAAGTTTCTGATGCGCATAGCAAAACTGACTTGACGTTTGTATTGAAAATCAGAATCTTTTTGTTGATGCTGAGTTGAGTGACGAAGATTTCCAGATTGGTTTCAGGTTGATGAATGTGTTTCTCGCCTTCCAGATTCTCGATTTGACATCCTCGTCCGTTCCTCCTGTAGTTGAGACAATGTTCCCTAGATAGGTGAATTAAGGAACGTCTTTCGAATCCCTCCCGTTGATGGTGATTGGCGCTGGATGTTGCTGCTGTTGTTGTTGGTTGGTTATTTTCACAACCTCCGTCTTGTCTATGTTCACCTGGAGTCCTGTCTTTGCTGCTTCTCCGAACAGTTTGTCGGTTTTCGCTTGTAAGTCTTCGATTTTGTGTGACATCACTGTGAACTACTAAAAAACCTGAAGCATCCAAATCACATAATGCAATTTGACTGTTGTTTACATCTCTGCAGATACTACTGGTAGTGACTAACTAGTAGTAGCTGACCAAAACTTAATTGGCTCGAAAACACATTAAGTTCATTAAACTGATTAAATTTGATCCAGACACTGTATGCTTGATGTGATGACTGCGGTCTACGCAAATTCAGTTTGACTAGAAGATAATATTGGTTAGTATAAATGGTGACTAGCTAGGTGTTTCAGTCAGCAGTGTACACTCTATGCCTTCTTGCTATCATTCTTGATAAAATTTATCATGTCATACATACATTTGGTGGTTTGGAAATTCCTGTTTTTCAACGAATCTAAAGTGCAGCTTATCTGTAAGCTGTGCAACTTGCGGAAACCTGTTTTCATATATTATTTATTCAATTATTTTTATGTCTAACGACGATGAATGTTTCCGTACATGCAACGAAGTATTGTTTTCTATAGCATTTTAATTATAACTGTTAATTAGAGGAAGAAAGTCGAATTCAAAAGACACACTCTTTACCAATTTGTCGTATTGATGATATTGTGGTGATGTGATACAGACAGTGTGTTCCAACGGAGTATTATTCTCAAATATTCTCACAGTTCAATACTGCATTAACAACAGGATACGATATATCTATTTGGACATTCTATTTCACGTCGTTTAATGCAAACCAAAATCATACGCTGAGTGATTGGTTAATGAATATAAACTGTAGAGATATAAACAACGGTTTGATCACTTGAATATATCCCTTGGCATTCGTGTCTTGCCTTCTGTTGTTACAATATAATTTTCCAGCATGTTGTTTTTATGAACCACACATTGTTTAAAACTGTAGAAAGTTACAGATTAAGCCAACAAGGTTAAATTGTTAGACCTCTCTGGTGTGTGTGCGTGTGTATACCTTGTTATTTCGAGTCAAATATCACTTTTATTCATAGTATATGCCACATAAGAATATCTAATTACAATGTATACATACTTAGTGTTTGTTTAATGAATACGTAGATACCTGTATCACTGTTCTTTATTAAGTATTTACTGCATTTTACAGTATTTTCGGTGATTCTTAGGTAGCGTAAACTAACTGAAAGAAATATTTAGAAGATATCTTTACTACTTACAGCTGCTTATTATATTAAAAGTGTGGTAAGCTGTACAGAAATGAGTCTTTCTTAGTGCCCTACCACGATAGCAAAATAAACCTGGAGTTAAAATAATCAAATATTGATTCCCAAGGGTTAGTTCGTAGGGATTTGATTTGTTTCAAGTTTTTACCACAGATTAATATCAGTTAGTGAAACGCTGGAAACCAAGGTATGCTATATAGCAATTTCGTCCTAGTTAGGGACTCATCATCGGTACGCATCCACTGAGACTGTAACCCTAGACCTGACAGTTACTGTAACAGCAGAAGACAAGAGCCAGGCAACAGATCGTTTATTAAGGAAAATCAACACACATATATAGATTTTAATGTACATTATTGTAGATTATTGTTAGTAGAAAATACAGTCTTTTGATTGGTTGTTTCTCACAGAAAGTTGACCTTGCATCTCTTTGTGGCTGTGTCAGATCATCTATATGCTAACTGTATCCGCCTACGCAAAGCTTTTGTTCTCATTTTCTCACCACCAATATTGAGGAGTAAGCATTGACGCAAATTACTGTCTATCAACTTTGGCTAGCATTCAGCTCTCACCACATTACAAGGCAAGCTCGTAGACCATTCTGCCACTGGGACCCGATTCAGTGGCTCATGTACTCTAACTTGTAATAGTTCCTGATTTTAGAACTACCATCAACCACTACCATCGGGTGAGTATTGGTCTTCATTCCCGGCCAGATGCACCCCACTGGTGATGACTTCTAACTATAACTCCAGGGAGCTTTGACTTGTAGCCAGTTTTCAGTGGTTCTCTAACTGATACCAATCTGTGGTCAGATTTGCGATAAATATTAATTAAATAAACATCTAGTCAGCCTGTGAATACTATGGGTGTTGTAAGTCTTCTTTTAACGTGTAAGCATTCAACTAAGCCTGAATGCCATTTGGCGCATCCCTTTTGTGCTGGTGACGCACAAATCCTCAGCTACACTAGCCTGATGATGAGTCCAAAAATCTTTTCCCCAAAATGGTCTCCACATTTATTTATTTAAATATAATGTGTGTCAGAGCATAATTCTAAATAACTGAGTATTTTAGTTTCATGTTTTATTAACAGTGGTCGCAGGTTCGGCAAGGTACTACTGACTAAGTGGTCACTTGTGCAAACTGCATTCAGTAAGACTGTTATGGTGTGAAATATTGAAAATACAACCAATTCCTTACATTTCCATGGTAACCTTTTTTTGAGGAAAAATAATTTTCAGGAATTGGTTTTGTGGGGATTTTGTTTGATTGCATGGAGGATTTCATCATGAGCTGACATCACTTAGAGAACCACTGGAAAGCCTGGGAGTATTGGACAGCTGTCCTAGTTTGAGACTCTTCATCAGTACGCACTCATTCCATTGGTGTTCGAACACAGGACCTTCTGGTTACAAGGCGAGCTCGTAGACCACTGAGCCACTAGGACCCGATCCAATGGTCCTTGAATTCTAACTTCTGCCAATTCACGACATAGCGCGACCATTTCGCAATGTCTTCTTAGATGAGTTACTGCTTCATCTTCAACCTGCTGTACCCTACTGGTCACGGCTTCCCACTAGAACTCCAGGTAAACTGCCTGAACAGGGCCAGTCACTAGTGAGCATCAGATTAATTTCCAAGTATTGGTTTTGTGGGGATTTTGTTTGATTGCACGGAGGATTTCATCATAATTCTCCACCTTTCACCATGATCAAGGGGATGTAAAACTGAAATTTATGAATCTTTAGATTTTCAGTATATCAGATTTTATGAACTGCAGAAGTATGTCACTGTGATCTGTAAAATGTTTCGGTATTTTGAAATATAAAGAACGCAATTTTTGTTGCTGTTATTCTTGTAGTTCTCTCTGCGCGAAAGAAAAAAAATGTTTTTGTCTTTTATCTCAGAGGAGGAGAAATTATCAAGTTTGATGTGTATGATGCATCATAGTTGAACGAACGTTGATGATGAAATCCCTATCCGACACCTTTGATAAATGCATTCAACTAGCAAAGAGATTCGAGACTCTAGTAAAAATATGATAAAGTAGCAAATATATTTCAGTGTGAAAATAAGCACACCGATGTAAGAAAACTTGTTCAAGCTTTACCATCAAAATGATAGAAACTAGGGTCAAACGTATATGCTTTGCCTTTGAAGTATTTATATAGGACTCAAGTATAGCAATTCACCTTGTGGTGGTGTGATACAGACAATGGGTTCCAATGGAATATTATTCTCACAGTAAGAATCATTGTATATGTTGGTGTTAACTTCTGAATACTATTCCCACAGTTCACTTGTGTATGTGGATTTGAACATTCTATTTCATGTCGTTTAATGTAAACCAAAATCATGCACTCAGCGATTGGTTAAAGAATATAAGCTGTGTAGATATAAATAGCTGTTTGATCACTTGGACATACACCTTGGCTTCCATGTCCTGCCTTCTGCTGTTGTGACCTTACCACATATAAGTAATATGTGTACAGTTCAGCGGCCTGGTCCCTTGGATATAGAAGCTTGTTACTTCCATAATACAGATGACGATAAGGAAATAAGTCTTCGAATCTGGGTTGTTACTTTTCTTCACAACCAAGTGATAACGTAATAGTTAAAAAGAAACGTACTCCACGTAAATCCCGGTGTGATTAGCGTCGCCTATTCACTTTAATATCGTAATTGTTATAGATGGAAGATGAAAGACAACTTTAGTGCACAACGGAGAAGTTCGAGCAAAACTAAAAGGTTCACTGAAAGTTGTCCTTGTGTGCATAGCTGACGATATCCCCTATAGTTGCTGATCACCGTTGGTTTATTAAGACAGCTTGTCATATTTAACAGGCATCACTTTCACAAACAAAATGAGAGTGTGAGTGATGTGACTAATACAGATTCCGTATCAAAAGTAAGCAGATATAGGTGAAACAGTCACCGCTTATTTTTGGCAGCGAATGTGAAGCGTTAGTCTGAAAACTCCTCTTTCTTAACTTTAACCAATACAATGGGCCATCAAGGTATGACTTCCGTTACCTATGCTTAAAGTTAAAGATATGAAGATTGCGTTTAAGAGGATACTGGCCCGATACGCTTTACGATAACTAACACGGAAAGACAGCTTGAATGGAACAAATGCAGAAGAATTTAGAGTGTGCAAAGGTGTATCGCTAGACCTGTGGTGGTGTGAAACAGACAATGTGTTCCAACGGAGTATTATTCTCACATATTCCCACAGTTCAAGTCGGCAACAGCAACAGAATACGAAATATCTATTTGAACATTCTGTTTCACATCGTTTAATGTAAACCGAAATCACACGTTGAGTGATTGGTTAATGAATACAAACTGTAGATATATATAGACAGCGGTTTGATCACTTGAAAATATACCTTGGCTACCTTGTCTTGTCTTCTGCTGTTACAGACCGATCAGTAATATTTATTGAATTTTAAACTAAAAGACGAGGTCCGTAGGGTTTCTAGAAAGCTTTACTTATGAAATTCATAGAAACGTTTCAAATTACTGAAGCTTTAGCTCCAGGGTTTTTTTGATTCCCTTAAAACGTCTTTCAACATTCCCATGGACATGAGCCTGTTTCTCAAGCGAACAACACTGTTGAAAGTGATATTAATTAGTGAAAGGCATTTATCATCTCACAGAAAACATGCCACATCAATCTATAATTGAAGAAAACTTATATTTGTTGATTAGCGAAGTTCACTACAAATCACTGTTTAATGCAGCTACAAAAGATCAGCAGTAGTAAATCAAAATAAATGACGCCAGAATGTGAAAAAAGAAGAACTTAAGAGCATCGGGAAAAAGCAAAAAAAGAATAACCTCCAAACTATGCCTTCTAAAGAGTAGGTACGGTACAAAATTTTCAAAAAATAAGATGATATGCATTTGAAAAGTTGATTTTTTAAAAGAGAATTAACTATTGTCTTCAAATTCACAGCCATTAAATCACTTAGACATAATCTAGCCATTGATTGCAGTTCACATCTTCTGTTATCATTCACCACTCCGCAACACATTCAACGACGCGTAGTAGTGGTCGCAGTTTCTGGGTCACATACAAAACTGCAAGTTACTTTCTAAAACTTGGTACAGTGAATTCGGTGACTCAATACTCATCGTTTGCTTTGTATCATTTTCTAGAAAAATTAAATGGTCCAGCAGAAATCCTGTTGTCACATTTGAACAGTAATTTTTCAAACCGTCAAGAATTGTTAACTCGCCAGACTGATTATTCTCCGTAATACGTTTTTGATAAAGATAATCATAGGCTGTGTGAAATTCTTGTATTCCAAGTCTTTCAACGCAATAACTGAAATGTAAAGTGAATAAGAATTATAATTTCGTTGGAAAAAAAATTAAAACTAACAGAATATTCATATGGAATTAGACCACTTGTAGGGTATCTGCACAAAACAAAAAAATAAACTCAGTAGCAACTTTATAAAAAGAATGCAGAAAATTATAAAAAACTGCCGGTACTTCCATTTATGCTATCACTTTAAAAGTAGAGCTATGATTCAGTGGTTGTGACATGCAGCTGTCCGCCAATTCGTCTAATTAACGAGACGAGATTGTCGGTTTTCTGTAAACATATACGATTTACAGACTGTGCAAGCAAACTTCAATTGATTTTTCTTCTGTTCCGTTTCACGAAGCATTAATCATTAACAAATCATCAGTTTTAATGAAAATATCAATTTTATTTGAAACATACGTAGAATATACTGCTGGTCACTTCTTTACTTAAAAGTCCTGCACAAATACTCTAAAAACCTTCTGCCATGCGCACACATGTTGTGCAGAATAAAGTTATCCTTACTAAATTCTTCACCAACCGGTAAACTAATGACGCTTCATAATAGCTTTTAAAAAAATGAATTTTTTGCGTTCCAAGAGGAACATAACAAGCATTCAAACTGTGAAGTTTCACTAGCAATGATTTCGTTCTTTATCACTATGGTTTCGAGGTTGCTAGCCTCATATCCAGCTTTCTCTGTTTTCCAGGCTTACTCTGTCTCAGGTGGTAGACTAGGCGAAGTTTGGGAGTGCACTGATCGGGAATTGAAACCCCAACCAAGTGTATGCGGCTGATGCGCATTTTTAACCACTGAACCACTGACTCATATTTTTCGTAACAGTGAACACTTGAAAAACCGTTAAACTTTTATTCGGTATAAGAGGCACTGAATGACAAAATCTTACTGTTCTATTTCACATATCAGTTCACTATAAGATGTGGCCTACTCTTGCAGTTTTGCCACCCATAAACTAAAATTAGGAAGTATATCTGAGCCTAAAAACCATAACAGTGCACTTAATCATGTTGAAAAAAGTAACTGACTGTTCGAGAAGCTATACAGTTTCTTGGAAATGGAGTGCAGCATCTTTATTGCTACTTCAATTATCAACTAATAAATACTCAATAAGACTGTTAGTTTCTTCAAAATGGAAGTTAAGTATTAATAAGCAGAACACAGTGGCAGCTTTATGAATCACATCGTACATTGTACCTAATACTGTACAGTATATCAGTCAGCCAACAAACTGCATTCATTATCTGAAAAGATTTACATTTTAAAAATGATATAGAAGTTGTCCTTTTCACAGGAATAGTGGAGAACACCGACAAGACACGTAGGTCAAACCATAATTTTTGTAGGACCACAACCAGCTATTTCAATTTATTTCAGATAGTGTAGTCTACGAAATTCTGTCTTTAGTCAATATTGCTATGTCTTAATGCCTTTTTCCGTAGTATAAATACGACACTGTACAGCTTGAAAATGAAGTCGTTGAATAGAAATATTTCTTCGCTGAACAAAAATTGTGTTTTTCCTAATGAATATTAGTATGTGATAGAATCGACTTTGAAACATTAATGATACTGAATGGCGGTGAAAAGACACTGTTTATTGCCAAAAATCACAAAGATCACAAAAGATAGTGCACAACATCAACTACATCAGTAAGTTCTCTATATTTCTATCCTATTGTCAAGGAGGAGAAAATGAAAGGGAGGTGAATTTATTTTGCCGGTTCCTCATATGTCCTAACGCTTTGTTGCTCATACTGTCTGTCTGTCTGTTTTCGACATACAACTTTGCACAAATGTGCGGCAGTTCAAGTCGCCACACTCCATGTAGCACACAGAGCAAGAGAAGAAAGTGAGAGAAATGCATATTAGAGACAGTAAACAGAGGAATAGTAATAACGAAGAACAAAACAGTTTCATTGGAAATCATAATTCACAAGGAGTGGATGCATCTGCGCCACTGAGAACGATTTTGAGCCAAGTCACCAATTTTTTCCAACCATTGGTTTTTACCGTCCTGAGGATCCCAACCAGTCAGGAAGTCTACGCCTTCCTACTTGGCCTAGACTAACTGTTGTAGATTTCATTGACTGGTGCCATGTTTTGGTTTGACCGCCGCTAACTCTTTCCAGCCTGACCCTATATCAGCTAACATTGTCCGTCGAGGAAGGCGATGACTAGGCAGGCATGTGTAACACATGTCCTAACCATCTCAGTCGATGTAATTTCACAGCCTCAATGATTGATTTCCCCTCCTTACTAATAACACACTAACTTCGATAAGATGACTAATCCCACTTACTTTCTTAAAGTTTCAATCTTTTTCGCCTTAGCTTCTGGTCCATACATATAATTAGTTTCATCATTTATAACTAAAGTTTGATCATCTATATAGGGGGTAATAAACAAAAAAATAAAAGAAAACAGTTTCTAAGACAATATAAATTAAAAACTTCATATTTCACAAAGTAAATTACTCACTGATTAGGATTGTACAGTCTGTGTGTTTAACTGAAGTTATAAGATGTACAGCTGAGAAAATTCACCATCATCAATTTGTCAGAATACTTTACTACAGCCTAAGAAACAGATTTATCATTACTTAGGGGGGCTTTGTCTAACACCCCGCAATTAATGTGAAGTCGAATATATAAGGCACAGTAGTAGGCTGGATTCAATTAGATTACTGGAACACAAAGCTTTGTCAAGTCTGGACTAGTAAACTCTAATAAGGTAAGAAATCTAGAAAAAAGCTCAACCGTGTCACCATATAGAGTCGCACGCAACCATAACAATACGACGGGTCAATGTGACAGTCTTAAAATCTGAGGTAACTGGATGGAGGAAGAGACTGATAGTTGAAGCTTTGATTATGACATCAACTGAAAGTATATACGTCGCAGTGATTCAGTACTTGTTCCAGACATCTGGAAAATTCTACTACCTTTACAAAATATGGTAGAGGAGGATGAGAAGTTTAAAAATCAAGGTTCAAGTTGTATAGTTACAACTGATATCATTATAAACAATAAATTGTATTCGAAACATCATTCAGTAAATAATACTATTCCACTGGGTGATATATCCAACGAACAATGGATAGTGCTCAAGTTTCACATGTAATATTGAGGGCCCATTGTCCTTGGCATAAAATAAAATATAGCGTCGGTGGCACAGCGGTTAGGACTCTCGCCGATCATGCACATGGTCCGAGGTTCGATCCCCCGCCGACGCACACCTGATATCTGTGGTCGGCTTGTTATATTTGGGCTACCGAAATCACACGCTGGAAATTTCATACTTGTAATAAAATACTGTGTGGAATCAAGCTATAATACAATAAAAATATATATACATAGGTGTGAGTATTCTTCAGCAGCTGTACTGCTAAATACAATTATGCATTTAGATTAAAGGTGTAAATTGTGTATAAAATAAGCAAATCATCAAATAGGCAAGATTGCTAGATAATCTTATCATAAATGGGTTGTGTTTCTTTTGACAATGTGTAAAACGTCGGTGACGTCTTGAATTGCTTAAATTATTAGTTTCATCAGGTTTACTGCAAATAAAAATCTTTTTATCATGTTGGTACTCTTCTTTCTGATCTAAATTTTATAATCAGCACCAATTTTGAAACATAGGATCTGTTGTGTATTTATTGCGCTTCTTTTGTAAATTTTAATGGGGCATTTATAATTAATTATATTTATAACAACTGTTATTGTCACTCTTATTATTGTCATTGCTTACATTTCTCATCTGTAAAAGTTTTTCAAATACTTCATGTATAATCCCCATCCAGGCATTAATGAAAACAAAACACGTAGATCAGCGAAGAGTCTCTTTTCGGCGAATTCATTTTCTTAGCTGTACAATCGCAAATATATATGTGTTATTTTGTATGTATGTGTACAATAAGTTTATCAAACAAAAATACAATTGGTTATAGTTATTTAAACTAAACAGGTGAAGATTGGTAATTGCAGTTACGTAATACAAAATCAGTCAAGAAAATTAGGTGTTAGTGAAATTAGGGTAGTAACAAAGATGATGAGTTGTCACTTGCGCCAAAAAGATACTTTACATGAACCTGGATTTCAAGGGAGATTTAGCAAGCGATATTCTCAAGAGAAGGATCACATCATCTCTGAGAAGAACATTCTTTGCAGCAGCGCTAAGAATAGTGTTCTCCAGTCGCCCACTGATCTGCAGAAGCCTCAAGGACAAGATTCCGCATCTGACCACTTCTATGCGCATATATCAGTTCACCTGCTGCTGTGGAGCCAGGTACATCGGTCGTTCGACGCGCACCCTGCCCAAGAGGATTCAAGAACACTATTCAGCATGGTTGCGAAAAGGCAATAGTGGTGCAATAAGGAGTGCGATAGGTGAACATCTGGTTAACACTGATCATTCCATTTCAACAAACGCCTCCTTCAAAGTAATCTACAGAGTCAAGAACAACCTGTCGAAGGCAATACGGTTTCGATTTTCTTAACACGCTGGGATTAATTTAAATAATTTATAATCAATTGTATTTTTGTTTGATAAACTTATTGTACACATACATACAAAATAACACATATATATTTGCGATTGTACAGCTAAGAAAATGAATTCGCCGAAAAGAGACTCTTCGTCGATCTACGTGTTTTGTTTTTCAAATAATTCACATATTTCTATGCTAACTGTATCGAAATGGACTTTACATCACCTGCTGTGATGTATATACTGGTGTGCATTTGAAAAAAAAGTGATATCTTACTCCACCTATATGAGTAACCGCATACTATTGAATTAGTACTGTGGCCTGTGCTACTGATAAAGTTTATTAGCAGTATATAAAGAGATTCTCATTGGCACAAAAGTAATATCAAATAGCAAAGACATAGATTTGACGTCAGAGAAAGCGAACGATTCAGGATTACGGTAAAACATGGGAAAGACGAAAAGAAGACAGAGAAAAACACTACAACGGACAAAATTAGCACAACACGGAATATCTGTGCAAACGACGATTTGAAGATAAGGTGTGCGTAATTTCACTACATATAGGAACAAATTCTAAATGAGCATTCCTTTACCAAGTCTATTGTCTTCTGCCGTTACTCTTTGGTCTTTTAAGATGAGAGGCATACGAAGTATAGCAAATGATAGATAGGAAAACAGTGTACCTTCTGGTTGACGTAAAGCTGCCTTCATGCAACTAAGTACATCATCCAGTGTTTCATTTGTATTCCAATCATCTTGATTCTCAATATCTTCTAGATCATTTTCAGCAATATTGCCAGTTTCATTTGGTGTCGACAAATCTTCATGAGCAGAGGTTTTTGAATATTCTATTAGGCCATTGTCATAATTCGTATAATATGTTTCCATAAGTTGAGTATTATCAGAAAAAACTGAAAGGCAACAAAGCGTACAGAAATGCCATAAAAAGATTTTAATTTACAGGGATGAACAAATCTTTTGACTATGTAATGAGACTTAGTGATTACAAAACGACGAAGTCAAATAAACTGAAAACATGACTATAAAGGTAGAGGAAACAGCTCGGAATGATTTCGTGAACACTGCGCTGAAATGTTTATCGTATTCTGCAGACAAACGATTGAAAATCGATCATAATAATAATACCTGCGTATCTACAAACAAAAGGTTGAGGAAGAGGAAGATAGGAAATTGAGAAGAGATTGATTCAGACGAATTATTTGCGAATAAGTGCAAACGGTATAGCAGTTCGATTTAACTAAATCAATTTGTCCGCTCAGTTAAATGAATTTATACGTTTATTTAGATCTTTATTTCCTTATTATCATCACTGTTATTATTATATTATTTATTCCTTGAATTCAGTGTGGAAGATAGTGCTTCAATATCACATCTTCATTTCACCCTGTTCTCTGATTTCTTTCTGAGTTGAATGTTTGACTAGCCACAAGCTGTCCTCCTTCTTCCTTTGGTCTGCGTTGCTTTTAGTTGCGTAACAGTGTATAATTAAAACTTTCCTAACTTTTGACTTGGATCTTGCTTTCATGATACTGGAGGAAAATGGTTCCTACTGCATGACAGCTTTCGATGCTGTTGGTGATATAGTGGTGGCTATACCATCAGTGTGGCTCTCATCGGACCTACTGGAGTAAATTTATGACTTACTAGTTAACAATTTGAAGAGTCCACCTCCATTCCATGTACTCTCACAGATAGCTAACACTTCTTTACCATATCTTCTCACAGCTTTGAAAATCTCAACTGCTTTGGCTACCGGTCTCAAACATTATAAGGGGAAATTCCATCTGTTGATGTACTTACCTTTACTTTCATCGAATGAAGAAAAATCGGCTGAGTGGCTCCCCAACCTACACCAATTCGTCTCTTGGATTCTAGCGGAAAATAAGTTTACCTTTTATACCCTTTTCTGTGCTTTAAGGTTTCTGTAGCGACTGGGTTGATCTCTTGTTGTAGGATGGCTAACCCCATGCCCAATCTCCTTCTTTTTTCCTGCTTAGGACAGGTTAGTAAACTAAGTACAGTTTTAGTATCCTTGCTTTGTTGTATTATAAGACTGGTTCCCCTTATTAGTAAATGGTAACGCCGTTAGTAGAAAATGCGTAATAAGTAAATCCCTTTCCATGAAATCGGTTTCTCCTAAAATCAAGTAAATACAATAAAAAAGTTGGTATATTTAGACTCCATTTTTGTAACCCACAGAAGGGACCACTAGAAAGCTTATAAACATTAAAAAACTTTAGAAAGGGATAACAAGAAGGCAGCTGTGTATATACCTTCAAATAACTAACCCTAATGATTTATTTTAGTGGTCAGTCAATTGTTCTACATCACCATTATGCTACATAACACATTCATATTAATAATAATCACTTTATTTCAAAAAATAATAGTTATACAGAATGGAATTTTCAGCGTTTTTATGCACATTGCAACAATCTTGCTCCTTTTATAAATATGTAAATACATAATATTTAAAATAGTAATAATAATAATAATAAAATTAATAATGAAACCACTATAAACAGAATTTTAGTGGAAACATAATGAATTATAAGTGGATAATATCATAGATAATGCACGTAATAAAATTCTTTGCCTAAACTTTGCAATTCACCTAGTGATTTAAATAGTTCATAAGTTCTTTTCTGTTATCTAACTATTCATACAAAAGCTGTGCTGAATATGGCATGGTAGAATTTTTATATTTAGTAGGTGTACGAGCGTAAATTCTTATGAAGTTTCTTCTGGTTTCACCTCCCAGAGAGATACAAGGAGAAAGTTGAGAATCAAAATGAGGATGCTCAGTATCAGACAAGATAACTTTAGCCAAGTGCTTTGAAGAACTGAAGTGCCTATTAACAATAGTGTCAGTTAGCTGAGTCAAAGGCACACACACTTCCCTAACCCTACCTACAGCCTTCAGTGTTCTACATAATATGATATAGTCTGTTTTGGAAATCCAAGGGAACAATAAGTGGCGCGAACAGTAAAGAAGGTGAATGGGTATAATACATGAATTAACAATTTGTAAGAGAAGAGGTTGAGTTATGCCAGCAGAAAGTCTCAGCTTCTTTGTGAAATAAGTTAAACGAAAAATCTTCTTAGAAGTCAAGACGACCAAGAGAGATTCGAAGAGAAACTGATACCGAGATGAGAGATGTTCGATTTACTCCCTATCACAGTGCCGTCAGTATTACAGGAATCATGAGACTGAATCAATTCACGGGAGTCTTGTTCTCATGTGAAACTAAAATCAACACTATGACATTCAGATAGATTTAATTTAAGACCATTTAGATGAGACCATTTATTAACTTCCCTGACACTACCAGTAGGGTATGAGGGACCACAACGAGTAAAATAATCATAGATTCATAACAGTCAGTTCGTGGATTTTATAACACTTAAAAGGTTTGTTGCCTTCATCATTCTTTAAAGAATCTGTATTATTTTAGTTGAATCGGAAGCCTAAGGAGAGTTTCTGGGTAAAGCAAAGCATGATGTTGATTCCTGTATCATTATTACAGTTGTCTAGTTCTTCTTCCTTAAACTAGATAGATACTGTTAATGACAAAATCTACAGTGAAAATAATTCAAATTCCTACAAAAACCATAATCTGAATATCAGTCTTCAGCTGATTAGTGGCTAGTGGGTGGATGTCCTCAAGTCCTAATGAGCAATGGTTGTCACTTGGGCTTACTATTTGGGGATAAAGAGGGTAGTCGTTGATGGTATTGGTCAGTGGAAGTACTGTATTACAAATCGACATCAGTTAGAGTTCACGGGTCACGGAATTCCAGCCTAACTGAATGAATGATTAGAGAATTGGCCTCGTAACCTGAGAGTCCTAAATTCAACCTCTGATGTGTCTGGGTGCGTGCGCACTGCTGAAGGATTCCAAACTGGGACGAAACTGCTGTCCAGCACTCCGTTGTTTTCAATGATTCTCGAACTGATATCAGTCCGTGATCAAAATTAAAACAAATCAACTCTCTACAAACAAGGAATTAAAAACAAATAAAACTGTCGATAAATATGGTCAGCGGCCGTCTTTCTGGAACACCTATATAAACTTACAAATTCCGAACCTAGGGAAGCCTCTCTAGTCTTCACTTTATTACTCTCAGTTAGACTTATGCCTACCGACTGTAATATCATTTCATGTGTGTCATCTTATTCTCTGTTTTCTTTTTGTAAGTATAGAAACTTGAACTGATGTTCCACTCTGAAAACGATGACCTACATTCATTAGTTAATTTGTGAACTATCTAGTTTGCGCTGCCGTGAACAAGTGAGTAAATCACAAACAACAAGTTGTTGGTGTCAGATGGTTGGAAGCGTCTGTAGTGGTAGGTAATTCCACAGAATTATTAGCCACAACATTCATCACTGAACATTGGATGCTGACCGTCACTGTTCAAATAAATTTGTTTAGCTGAAGGCTTACGGTCAAGCATCCATGCCATTTGGCACGCCTTCGTGTTAAGTTCGTTCGTTCGTGCACGATCTCTAGTTAGTTAAGCAATCATCTCGCACTCCGATTTCATCCCGAAATATACTTCATAATTCAGACGATGAATTTTGGTGTTTTGCTTTACCTATGGTCTACGCGGAACGAATACTAAAGAAGTTATGGGCATTAGATTTTGCGTTAGTACACTTCATACTGTCCGCTAACGTCAGCACCCTCAGCCTCTAAACATCCCTCAGCAAGACATAATTTTAGTCACGAGGAAACTGATATTCCCTCTGACGTTCGAACGCTTTTAGTTCAGTGGTGTAGTTGGGCCACTACAAACTTCCTGCCAGATCACAGTAGATTTACTAGCTGGTCAATGAGGAGCAACAAATATCATGCGTCTAATCCCGAGTACTGACTGAGCTCTATCATTGAAGTTTACAATAGGATCACTAATTTAGGAGACCCGAAATAGCGGTATACTGTGAATTGAATCCGACACAATTGGGAAATCGAAAACAAACATAAGCTATCATAATAAATTTATCTAATTACGATATTAATAGTAAGGCTTTATTGCAGACAGTATGTGAACACATAGTACAGTAATAATCTAAAGTATGTCATGCCATATATGCAGGAGAACTGATTCTATACATTTTTGCTTCGTTTCCTTCAAGAATTGCTCAGCGTTTCGTTGAAAGTTAACTAAATATGATGTAATTGTATAATTAGCACAATAAGAAATGCTGAAGAGTTTAAGCATTTTGGTGCATGGACGCTCTGCTAGTTCAGAGAATTAAGCAGGCCGTCGTGAAGCTGATCACAGGATGATGAATGTCTACATGAGTCGATAACAGTCTTAATGTTATGGCTTACAACCAGGGCCTACATAATACGGAAATAGACATGCATTCTCGCAACTGACATTCCTTTCCTTGTATACATTTCGCTGCCTAATGGTTCTTCATATTTGCATCTTTGAAAAAAATGAACTTAAAGCTAGTGAACTGGTTCACAGAGGTTTTACTAGTGAACCTAGTCACTCAGTTATGCATCAAGTTAATAATATGCAGGCTTACCGTCATTACACTTCAAATTACAGTTATTAATTGTATTCAGCTGCCTTGCTGACTGAACATAATTATTGGTTGAAACTTCTGGAATTGTAAAACTACGTCGGATGAATAGATTCAGCTGGTTAGTGTTACTCTCTTCATCTTTGTGATCATGATTATCAACATTGTCATCAGTTATAACGGCCTGTTTCTTTTGTTCATCTCGACGATTTTCATACATTGGACCGGCTGAACCAGGTACAAGACAGAAATTTTTCAGTTTACTGTCGCTCGCTGGATTTTGCGAGTCTTCAGTCTGCTTCTGTATATTATTTGTGTATTTACCAGATTCAGTAAGGTAAAAAGTCCCAAGACTTTCATCCTCAGCTCCTGGACCCTTACCTAACAGACTGTCATTATCTGGTTATAAAAGGTAATCAAATGCACAAATCATAGGGATCATATAATCATGTTTTGAAAAAAGAATAGAAAAAAAATGAACTGGAGTATTGCTATTCATTTTTGAGTATGCAAAAGTGAGAGAACTGTGAGCAATGTCAAAAATCTTCGACACTAGTTAAGTCTAATGGATTTGTGAGTTCAGTAACAACCATAGCATGTCCCGGATTTCCAATTTCCTCTAATTTAATATTCTACTTAGGTAAATAAACACTGGTATTTTCATAGTTGAAAAATTTCTTAATAATGTAATAAACAGCATGTGCTACAGTCAGTAGAAGGAAAGGATTACGACTTTACTATTGGTCATTTAAATTCTGAAGCGAGGAACTTTAGTGAGATGGTTCTCTAACTGGTAACCAAACTGAAGCCTTCTATTCACTTCTATTTGTATAGGCGAAAGCAATTCCCGACAGAGTGGTTACATTAATAACTGCTATCTTAATCAAACATGAAGTATATTAGTTTACTCACTTTCTGAAAGTGGTCTGTGTGGCCAAAGTAAGTTTTCTGTATTTTCAAAGTCATCCATATTCTCAGTTACGCCATAATCATTATTCATTTTCTCTAAGTAAAGATTTTTCAATTCGTTCAACATTTTCTCTGTAGACATTTGAACTGTTGGCCATAAACGATTTGATGATGGATATCGTTTCTAAATTGTAAAATTTGAAATGAATCAAATCAAAAATAATTATAGATACCGTGGGATTTTCAGTGGGCTTACAGCGATGATAAGGTGGTAATAATAATAATATGTAGGATTTGATCATGAGCTGACATCAGTTACAGGACCACTGGAAAACCTGGGAGTACTGGACAGCTGTTTCGTCCTAGTTTGGGGCTCTTCATCAGCACGCACCCACCGGGGTTCGAACCCAGGATCTTCTGGTTACAAGGCGAGCTCGTAGACCATTGAGCCACTGGGACCCGATCAAATGGTCCTTGAATTCTAACTTCTGCCAATTCACGACATAGCGCGACCATTTCGCAATGTCTTCTTCGATGAGCCACTGCCTCATCTTCAACCTGCTGTACCCTACTGGTCACGGCTTCCCACTAGAACCCCAGGTTAACTGCCTGAATAGGGCCAATCTGATGCTCACTAGCGACTGGCCCTGCTCATGATGAAATCCTCCATACAATCAAATGAAAATCCCTACAAAACCAATACTTGAAAAAAAATAATAACATTATACAGGTGACATTGCTTGTTCTTTGCTGCTAATGGCAAACTAAAACAAAATAGTATACTAACGGCATGAAACGCCACACTACACGCTTGATACAATTTAGGGCAAACATTTTACGGAGGGTCAATACCTAACGCTGTGTTGACAAAATGTTTAGATGCCAATATCTATTTTGTAACTTATAAAAATTGTAAACTTGGAATAACTATTCTTCAAAATCTTACATTTACATACTAAACATCAGATCATATTTGTTCTTGAGTCAGAAACAATAGTTCTAACAGCTCATTTAGAGATGAAACAGTTATAATTTGGTGGTGTAATACAGACAATGTCTGCCAACGGAATAATATTTTCATATATTCCCACAGTTCAATACAGAATCAGTAACAGAATACAACATATCTATTTTAACATTCTATTTGATGTTAGATACAGAATACTTTTCCCGCGGTAATTTACTGCATTAACAACAAAATACTATGTGTATTTGAACATTCTGTTTCATGTCGTTTCACGTAAGCTGAAATCACAAGCTCAGTAACTGGTCAGAGAATATAAACTGTAGATATATAAACAGCAGTTTGATCAGTTGAAAATATACCTTGGCTTCCGTGTCTTGCCTTGTGTTGTTACAATATTACTACTACTAAATATTTTGTCTTGAATGATGAGGTGCAGAAAATGAAATTAGGAAATTTAGATAATGTACTATTTTCCTACTTCAGTACGGAAAATGGGGTTTTAGGTTAAAATCGATTGCATTCTTAAGAGATTCCGTTACGATTCGACTTCAGGCAAATAATAATGATAAACCTATGTGAACTAAGCGGTTGATTTATACAAGCCCTAAAGTAAGCAGTAGGTGAAGAACGGCAATTACGTGAAGTTTCGAAGTGCACACTTCTTATTTCAGTTAATGTAATCATATTCAGGTGTCTTTACTTTCGACATTCTGACCACTACAATGGACATATGGCACAGTTCCACTGAAACATTTGCCAAAATGGGACTCAAGACTGGGCCAAGAGTGTTAGCTGAGATTTCCCTGGTGCTTAAGGTCTTCAAATTTTTATCCAAACTTCTGTTTTGCAGCAGAATCATTTAATGCAATCTTGTTTTGTAGGGAGTAATTACTTGAAGCTTAATCTTATCATGATAATTTTTACATTTCAAATTTCACAATATCAAATGTATGTATTCACTCCTAAGCAATGATCCTCTTCTTGTCAATATCAACTTTTCTTTAAATATTACGTAAATATAACCGTCTCATCTTATCTGACTGAGGACTAATCAAAAAGGATATTCTTCTCTCAGTCTTCATGCCTTTTAGATAAAAATCTCGCATAGTTTTAGAGTAGATTCTAATTTCGTAAAACAGGGGAAGAGCCAGTAACCCTACATCATTAAAAAACAACCACATCGCTATTGAAACTTCAGCGCACAGGGAGAACAAACTTATTCTCCCCTAGAATCAGGAAAACTCCTCAGACCAATAAAAGAAGCAAGACTTCTGCAGATAGCAAGAAACAGTAATAGAGATGATCCCAAATCAAAATCCCCAACAGTGATTTGAACGCTAAACTGAGAGCAGATAACATAGGAAAAGATCTTATCACGGGTCGGGAAGCTCTTGGCAAAATGTATGATAACGGAGAACCCTTTACACACTTCTGTCCCATAAGTTATTTTGGGAATGGAGGCAGCGCGTTTAAGCACAAGGACACACCCAAGGATACACGGTTTTCACAAAATGGATACGCCAAAAATCAAACAAGATTCCACGCAATCCCTGGAAGGTAGAGACGCAGCCTGATGGAGACAAAATCTAGAAGAATAGCATAGGCAAGTTAAGACCACTGTCTAACAAGGATCAAGTTGAAAGCTACCAAAAAATTATACAAAAGTCACCATTCATGTTCAGCACCCAAAAAGTGAAGGAAAAAGACACAAAAAACATCTTAAATGCAGTCATCAGGTAAAAGTTGGGGACCATAGAGGAGACGGAGGTGATGAAGATGCCTAACCAGTAACAACAACAAGTACAAGTACTTATCACCACCAAAGGAAGAAATTTGAAGGAAGTCAGTTATTTTGTTTATCTAAGCAGCGTCGTTTCAACTATAGGTGTTTCAGATGAGAATGTCAAAGCCATTCAGGATCGGAAAAGCAAGGCAAACATTCAATAATTTAAAATCACTGCGGGATAGGGCTAGATTAGGCATAGGGAACCAGATGCTGGTTTTCCATACCAATTTCAAGTCATTGCTTATGTATGATTGAGAAGTGGTGTACGCGTTACCAATGACATTTGCAACAGGCTACTGCAGTTTTCGCTGTCTTGATACCAAGCATAAGATTGTCTGTTGACAGAAATAAGTAAACAACAAGGAACTCTGGTAGAGCACTGAAACAGCTAAAATCTATAACCCAACAAATACGCAGCAGAGAATGGGGACGGATTGAGTGCACACTCAAGAGACGGTTTAGTGACATGCGACACCAGGCCCACGCGTGGAACCCTAGTGTGGAGCGACGATTTGGACGTCAGAGGGTAACAAGGAAGAAGTCGTGCTATGTGGAAATGAAATCTTATGACCAGTCGAGGAGTCAGCTAAAAGAGACAGATAAAAGATAACAGACTGAAATCAAGGTGTACTTCAGGAGTCCTATGTTCCACTCGGAACCCGATTAAACAATAATAATCACTTGAAATTTCTTCTTGATATAATACTCCTCTCAAAGCAAACTGGTATCATATATATTTATGGTTCATAATCACCATGGTATTTTAGGTGTTTTAACATATGAAAAAGTCATAGACATTTGCAGACATTTACATACTGTTCCCATCATACTATTGTCCACGTTTAATGTGTTAACTTGAATTCCCAGATAAAATGGATAGATTGGTTGAAGGAGCTATAAACTTTAGTCATTTGGCGTGACTTATTTGGGGCGGTGTAGAACGTCGATAATCCTAGTAATATTAAATGAATCCCTTGTGTATTTATCGCTAGAAGAGGGGTTTAGTGTGTTGTTATTGTATCTAGAATCTAAGAAGTCTGAGTAGTGATTAAGGTACAATGATCATATCTTTACCTCTTGACATGTTCTAGAACAGAGATATACTTAATATTGTTCAACATTTGTCCTATTAATTGATCTTATCAATCGACAGGTGCTGTAATAATCTCTGGCTGCGAAGAGAGTGCCGAAACATTATATAGTACTTATCCAGACATCCTAATCGAAATTATACAGACATGTTGGATCTAATATTGTCTGAAGTGACAACAATCAGTGGTTTCCTTCAGTTTTGCTCACTGTCTGCACTCTTATCTAGTCTGTTTGTAGATGTACTACTAATGGAGATGAACCTAACAGACAGAGTGGAAGTATTGAATTTGTTGACAACTTCACTCATTTGAGATTGAATTAGTCCCAGTGGACTGATTGTAAACGAGATCACAGCAGACACACAAAAGACTCATATAGGATTTTTCAAACTGCGTCACTCTTAGGGCAGGCACGTTATCCTGATATTCATCAAACGATGTATTTAAAATGCAGCATTTCACTCTATTCCACTTCACGGACATGAGGCATGAAGACTGATAGTGGCAAATGGGAGAAGATAGGTAGATTTTGACGTTGAGTATCTCCGTTCAGTTTGTCGTACAAGGTGGAGCAATATGGTCGGTAATAGTGAGGTCAGGGTGAAGTCAATGGATGAGGATGTAAAGCTTCATAGATTCAAGGTAACTAGTACATGTATCACTTATGCCTAGCCAACAGCTTTCTTGATGAACAGTGTTCAAAATAGTCAAACGAAATCATGGTACTAATCCGAGAAGACTTTGAGAGTTGTCTAAACCACATAGGGAGGAGTTAACTATCTGATTAGAGTACTTAGAATAATTGGTAGGAGATTTCTAACGATACAGTTGACAATTATTGAAAACGGGGCATATGTATTCACTCCTTGACATCATGCAAATGCTAAATATCTTCATTAATTTCCTTCTAATTACTATCACTCCAATATATCTTTACTGATTGTAGTTCTATTACATTCCTTTTCACTGCAGTTGTGTATGTATGTAGCAACTTGAACTAATGCAATTTTATGCAAAGTTCTATGCTGATAAGTCCGCCTGTCTATCATCTGTAACGCCTCTAACACATACTTGATACAATCCAACAAACTATGCCTGATCAAGGGTATTAGGGATGTTGAAATTGAACGAATGATGGGCATATCAAGACATAGCACAAGTCCATTGAGTAATGTAGGGAAAAGTAAGATTTTTGACTGAGGTTTACACGAGCAAAGAAAGTGATAATTGAGAGTTTCTGTGATATGGCCTAGTTGAACGCCATTCATACTCTCTCTTTCTCTTCAGTATAACATCCGATTAAGTCAGTTTTTGCTTCTTAGTGTCATTTTATCTTACCTGTAAATCAATACACAGATATAAGGTATTGCAGTTTGAGACAGTGTGTGTTAATGTTGTGTTACATGCCTAGCAAATATCATAAAACTATCTGCGTTTTTAATAACAGAACGCTTCATTGTACATTTTTTATGCCTTGATATTTTTTGGATGTTTCTAGAAAATGTACACGCAGACAGCTATGGTCGAAACGCAAACGTATTATATGAACTTGATACATAAGATAACTGTTTTAGTAAACTATATGGAAAAGGATATTTGAAGGAATAACAACTGCACTGTAATTAACGATTTTGTCAAGATCTCACACACACACATACATTACTCACTCTGAGCTTACCCATAAAGAAGAAAACGAATGGATGTGAAAGGCTCAAGATAAAATACGCTCTTGGGATAATTTACCTGCCAAGTATACAAATCTGTTCGCCTTGTAGAGTTCAAAGTATTTCTACTGTGTGTTAACTGTTCTGCCAAATCTCTAAATGATGCACAATAAAGAAAAAGAAATAAGCTGTTCATTATCGAAAATTATATTCAAATACATTAGGAATAGTTATTCTACGAGCAAATTACTTAGCCGAAGCTCACTGACTCAGTCTTGGCCTTGATAAGTTCTAACAAAATTCAACAAGCTTACCCCAAGTAGATTTCCACCCATACTAGCCTCTGCCTAAACTTTTGGTAATACGGGAGTCTGCAATCATCCATAATTTTCGCATGGTCCAGATCTACATTATGATAATTTACTTCAATTTCACTGGTAAAAATGTTTGTGCACATAGCAAATAGCCCTACCGAAACGTTAGTTTGTTGCAGGAATAAAATTGATTATAACGTATTGTGGTATTTAAGAAGCTGTTTAACAATATTTGGAAAGAACAGAACACGAAGTTCAGAAAAGAAATCTTTTCCGTGGTTTCATTTTCAAAAGCTGTACAATCACATTTAAATAAATAATTTTACACAGATACAAGTTTCACTTGATTCCACATTAATTACGCAGGCGAATAAAAGGTGACAATTATTTTTAACTAGATATGGTTTACGAGAGGCTTACAAACAAAAATTACACAGAATTAGGATATAACTGCAAGATAGTTATTTTAGACGAATTATAAATGTGAGCAGGAAAAGTATGGAAACAAGCTTAAAACAACTGTTACTATTTCTGAAGAAATGGGATGAATTGAATTAAGACAAAGAGAGAAGAACCATAGACACAGCAAACGAAAAAGAAAAAAAATCAAAAAAACCGAGGCTAAGGGAACACACCGAACTTGGTCCATGGAAGTTGTAGAAGTTGGATAACTTCTTTTGAACACACAGCTCCGGCTTTTCGATGCATATTGCGAGGGCTTATGCAGTACAGAGAAGTCGAAAACATACTGCTTTTGGTAGGTTTCTGATGACTTTGTAAATTGCCTTGAATGAATCAGTTGAGATGTTGTGGGAGGTGTTGATCAGATGTTCAATAATGGTACTTCTGATTGAACCGCTGCCTCTTTTTTGCAACCATGCTGGTTGATGTTCTCTAGCACGTTTTGAAAGGACGCACATATAACGACCTATGTACCTAACTCCGCATGATCAGGTGAACTTATATATGCACATTGAATTGGTCACATGCGAGAGTTTGTTATTAGCATTGTTTCGAAGTATTGGGCGGCTCAAGAATGTCACTGTTAGTGTTGCTGAAGGGAAGATCTTCTTTAAACAGCTGGATATTCTCCTCTTTAGGATATCAGCTGCCGAATCTCCCCTGAAACTCAGAGTGATATACATAATTTTCTTCGGCGCTGAATCTCATTTTTCTCTTTTTAGTTTAGGTTGCATGTTCTTGTCGACAAAACGTGCTGGGTAACCATTCTGAGCCACGATATTATATTCTAATCCTGTGTAATTTTTGTTTCTATGGCTCTTGTAATCTACATTCTCACCTCCTAACTTCCATCTCAAGTTGAAAATTATTATTTCAATTTGTTTCGATGCTCATCTTCTACACACCTGTAATTCGTTTTAACTCTGTACAGTTTTTGTCTGTGAGCCTTTCGTTAACCATATCTAGTTGAAAATAATTGTCACCTTTTATTCACCTTCGTAATTATGTGGAATCAAGTAAAACTTGCATCTATGTAAGATTATGTATTTAAATGCGATTGTATAGCTTTTGAAAATGAAACCGCCGAAAAGATATCTTAGCTAAACTTCGTGTTCTCTTCTTTCTAATGCCCTAATAAGTATTTTCCACGATTTAATAATATTTGCATTCTCATTATAAGTGCATATCCATGACCCTATGAGAAATACTAAGGCCTCCTTGCAACCATTGTGTCAGTCATCGATTTCAAAGGTCTTCTTTTCCAATGTTTGTAGATCTGAAGTATAGAAAGGCGGTTAGTCAGCGATTAAACCACTTAAATCCAGAAACTGCACAAATACCAGCTTTTACTTTATGGTAGTTAGTATTATGGATTTGTGACGTCGCCTGACCTGCAGATGAAAGTGGAAATAATAGTCAAAATGCATGTCTTAATTGATGAGCATCTCGCAGTGACTTAATGAGGGTAAATCTGGTCAATTAAGATGATGTTCATCATTTTACTCATCAAATTCCCATATTATTGCTATCAATTCGCTCGGTCGGTTTTCGATATGGAACTTTGCACATATGTGCGGCAGTTCAAGTCGCCACACTCCATGTAGCACACAAAGCATGAGAAGAAAGTAGGAGAAATGCATATTAGAGACAGTAAACAGAGGTGTGAGACAAAGGAATAGTAATAACGGAGGACAAAACAGTTTAACTGGAAATCATAAGTCACAAGGAGTGGACGCATCTGCACCAGCCATTGAGAAGGATTTTGAGCCATATCACCAATTGTTTCCAACCATTGGTTTTTACCGTTCCGAGGACCCCAACCAGGAAGTCTACACCTTCCTACGTGGCTTAGACTAACTGTTGTGGATTTCATTGACTGGTGCCATGTTTTGGTTTGACCGCCGCTAGCTCTTTTCCAGCCTGACCTTATATCAGCTGACATTGCCCGTCGAGGAAGGCGATGGCTAGGCAAACGTAACGCATGTCCTAACCATCTCAGTCGATGTAATTTTACAGTCTCGTCGACTGATTTCCCCGCCTTACCTAGCACTCCTAACCTCAATATTGCACACCTTATTATCCCACTTCACGTAGGATATAGAACGCAGACACCTATGATCAAGGACAGTTAATCTCTTCATGTCTTCCACTCTTAATGGCCAGGTCTCACAGCTAGCCATAAAGGAGGACGGAGCGGACTGATGAGCAGTACACACGCCCTTTGGTCGATAGTCGGATATCACGTCTACGCCAGAGACGGCGTAAACTGGCATATGTGAAACTATCCCTCTGTATTCGTGCTGAGATTTCGTCGGAGATCAACCTGTTGAGGCTGATGGTACTTCCCAAGTAAGTGAATCGGTCACCTCCTATTTCTAATCTAGGGGTCGGTGTAGTCCAATCCTGCAGCATCATCTTACATTTCACAGGGGCGAATCGCATGCCAAACATACGAGGATTGCAGCTCAAGGTGTTCAGTAGACTCCGCATTTTGTCAGCGTCCTCACCTAGAAGGACTTGTAGCGGTAAATAATTCCCCAAAATTATTAACCACAGCAATCATCACTCAACATTGGATGCTGACCATCACTGTTTAAGTCGACTTGTTTAGCTGAAGGCTCACGGTCAAGCATCCCCGCCATTTGGTGCTTCGTCGTGTCACGTGCGTGCACGATTACTAGCTAGCTAAGCATTCATTCCTACCCGCGATTTGGTCCCAAAATATATATCGTATTTGGACGACAAAATCTGGTCTTTTGCTTTACCATTTGGTACTCGAAGAACGAACACTATAGTGGTTGTTGGTATAAGACCTTGCGTTAGTATAATCCGTACAACTCGCGAACGTCGATACCTACAGGCAACCAACTAAAGACTATATTGTCCGCATATTCTAAATCAACGAGATTATTCCCTGGTAGCAAGTCAATCCCTGAGTCGCTGAAGTGTGTTATTAGAAATTAGGTTCAATTTCCCCAAGAAACCTTTTACTTCACTAAAATTCTGAATAAAATGAATGAATTTTCACAACCTGAAAAAGAATTTGGCATTCCAGTACCTCAAAGTAGCAATAGTTTGATCTGATTCACTTGCTCTGTCCAGTTTGATCTTCTGACGTGGTGTCAAAAATTCATCCACATTTTCTGTGTTGTTTTCTTCATTATAATCTATTTTTATTGAGAGATTGTCATCGTTTTCTTGTAATTCTTGCTCTTGTAAAATTAAATCAGGCGAATTAATGAACTCTTCAAAAGATATAAATCTAATGTGGATTTTTTGAAAAAAACAAAATACAAAAGAAGCAGAATGCGAATAAGTTTTACAGAGGGAAAATTGGAGGCAAAGTTTTAAATTTTGCAGTGGTTGTACATCAAATAACCTCGCCTAGTTTACTAGCTCTATAGTTTTCTTGCCGGCCTCGAGTCTGGGTAAAGAGGGAGAGTTGGGTGTGGAACTAGCGACCCTACATCACAAAACCATTCAAACTGCTACGGAAACTTATACACAAAAGAAGAATAATAGAAATACAAAAATGTGGAAAATTACTTATTTTTACTGGAATTGGAGAGGTCTGGTGAAAGCCTTCTAGGAGCCAGTCAGCCAACCGTTGTGCATTCTCTCTATGAAATCAAGAATAAGAATGGTGACGTGGAATGTCCGTACAATGTACAAAGCCAGCTGTGAAGGTTGCCCAGGTAGCCAGAGGTATGAGAAGATATGGCATAGAAGTGCTGGGAATCTGAGAGAGCAGATGGAATGGATGTGGTCTGTCAAAATTGTTAACTGGCGAGTCAATAATCTACTTCAGTCTGATCACCCAGACGACAACCACGAGCACACTGAGGCAGTGGGTGACTATCATGGTGTCACTAGTGGCAGCCAAAGCCCTAATGCAGGGGAAACCAGTTTCATCCAGGATCATGGCAGCAGGAATCAACTCAAAAGGAAGGAAGGTTACAATTATGAAATGATACGCACAACTCGGAATAAGAGAGAAGGAAGAATTCTGTAGACTACTACAAACAGTAATGGACAACGTCCCGAATGGTGACATTAAAATCTTCATGGGCGCTATGAATTCTAAACTGGGACCTGATAATACAGGAAGAGAACTCATCGTGGGCCGAGATGTTCTCACCTGGGGAAATGAATGACAACGGAGAACTATTCGCAGACTTCTGCGCCTTCAATGATTTGTTGATTGGGAGCGGTGTGTACATACACAAGGCAGCGTGGGTTTCGCCTGACAGACACACCATAAACCAGATCGATTTCATCTCAATGCTGTTCAAGGAAGTGAAGACGCAGCTTGCTGGACACAAAGTCGAGAAGAGGAGCACATGTAGTACCAAACCATCATCTAGTTCAAGGAACCTTTAAGGTAAAGCTGAAATCCCTGCAAACAACTGGAGACAGGCCACTGTAATTCAAGTTCAGCATTCAGAAACTAAAGGAAAAAGCCCCAACGGATGCCTTCCCTACAGATGAGGCCAGACCAAATTCGAAGACACTACGTGTTATCACTGAGGACACCTGCGCGGAAGAACATTGAAACGAAATGTCTGAAGGTGATGTTCATGGAAACGTGTGCAAATGTTCTGGGAAGGAAGACAAGACAAGACACGGAATGGAGATCAACGGACATCTACCTGGAAGCTAATAGAAGAGAGGAGAGGAGGATGGTGAAAGAGAAGATAACTCAATGAGAAGGTGCACAGCGGAAAGAGAAGCCGAGTTCACTGTACACTGCATTGAATAAAGCAGTAAAGAAGATTGCTAGGAAAGACAAAAGACCTACTTATGAATTATCTAAATATTTAGCCATGGTATTAAATCCCCTTAAAAGCCACTCAAAATCTAGGCTAACAAATTCTTGTGAACCAAAACATAGATTAGATAATTTAGAATCAGATAATGAAGAAAAAATGGTTAGTTTTTACAATGTCAGTTTATATACACATATACCAATAAATATGGCACTCAGAAACGAACTCATTTCTCACCAAGAACTTGAACTTAGGACGAAAGTGCCACTTGAGGATATAGTACTGGGAGTGCAGCTATGCTTGACTTCCACAGTATTTAAATTCCAGGGGAAAATATACAATAAACTGAGGGAGTTACCATGAGGTCAACAATATCCCCGGTTACGGCAGATATATTCATGAACAGGTGGGAAAATGTAGCGATTGAAAAGTTCAGCCCCACCCCAAAGGTATGGTGGAGGTATGTAGATGACACATTCACTGTCTGTCTGTCTGTCTGTCTGTTTTCGACATAGAACTTTGCACATATGTGCGGCAGTTCAAGTCGCCACAATCCATGTAGCACGCAAAGCAAGAGAAGGAAGTAGAAGAAATGCAAAATATAGACAGTAAACAGAGGTGTGAGACAAAGGAATAGTAATAACGGAGAACAAAACAGTTTAACTTGAAATGATAAGTCACAAGGAGTGGATGCATCTGCGCCACTGAGAACGATTTTGAGCCATGTCGCCAATTGTTTCCAACCATTGGTTTTTACCATCCCGAGGGCCCCAACCAGGAAGTCTACATCTTCCTACGTGGCTTAGATTAACTGTTGTGGATTTCATTGATTGGTGCCATGTTTTGGTTTGACCGCCGCTAGCTCTTTTCCAGCCTGACCCTATATCAGCTAACATTGCCCGTCGAGGAAGGCAATGACTAGGCATACGTAGCACATGTCCTAACCATCTCAGTCGATGCAATTTCACAGTCTCGTCGATTGATTTCCCCGGCTTACCTAGCACTCGACGCCTAACCTCAATATTGCTCACCTTATTATGCCACTTCACGCGGGAGATAGAACGCAGACACCTATGATCAAAGACAGCTAATCTTTTCATGTCTTCTGCTCTCAATGGCCAGGTCTCACAGCCATAAAGGAGGACGGAGCGGACTGTTGAGCAGTACACACGCCCTTTGGTCGATAGTCGGATATCGCGTCTACGCCAGAGACGGCGAAAACTGGCGAATGCGAACCTAGCCCTGTGTATTCGTGCTGAAATTTCGTCGGAGATCAACCCGTTGGGGCTGATGGTACTTCCCAAGTAAGTGAAGCGGTCAACGTGCTCTACCACTTCACTTCCTATTTCTAATCTAGGGGTCGATGAAGTCCAATCCTGCAGCATCATCTTACATTTTATAGGGGCGAATCGCATGCCAAACATGCGGAGGTTGTTGCTCAGGGTGTTCAGTAGACTCTGCATTTTGTCAGAGTCCTCGCCTAGAAGGACTATATCGTCCGCATATTCTAAGTCAACGAGATTCTTCCCTGGTAGCAAGTCAATCCCTGAGTCGCTGAAGTGAGTTAGGGTTAAGTCCATTAGTACATCTATGATGAAATTGAATAGGAATGGGGATAATGGGCATCCTTGACGGACACCACTAGTCGTCACCACTTCAGATGACAACTCGCCATAAGCCCTCACCTGGCTGCATGAGTACGAGTAGAGTGCCTTAATCAGTGCAATGTATTTTCTTGGCATTCCCTTTACAGCCAAGCATCGCCAGAGAACCTCCCGGTCGACAGAATCGAATGCCGCCTTTAGGTCAAGAAATATAATGATTGTCGGACGCCGGTAGGAATGCCTATGTTCTAGAATCTGTCGAAGGGTGAAGATGTGATCAATACACCCTCTACCTGGCCTAAAACCTGCCTGGTTTTCTCGTGTTTGTGTCTCCCGAGCACCACTTAATCTACGCAGTATTATTGAGCCTAGGATTTTAGATACTATATTAGTCAAGCTAATCCCTCTGTGATTATCACAAGACGACTTGTCCCCCTTCTTGTATATCGGGATGATCAGTGACTTACACCAACCCGATGGGACTTCCTCTGATTCCCAGACGCTGCCTAGAACCTCCGTTAACGCAGACAGTAAACTGTCGCCTCCGTACTTAAATACCTCTGGAGTCAATAAATCAGGTCCCGCTGCTTTGCCTAGCTTCAGATTGGTGACAGCTTTAGTAACCTCGGTTAAGGACGGAGGACCTGTGTCTATCTCCCATTCAGGGAGGTGTTGGATGTCCGGTAGGTTAAGTGTGGCTGTGGGCCAATTAAACTGCTCCTCATAGTGTTCTTTCCAGCGCTCCAGACGTCTATCCTGGGAGCTAATTATGGTGCCATTTTTCTCGGAGATTGTTTCGCTTATCATTTGTTTTTTACCACCTGTTTCCCTGATAAGCCTGAATAGTTGTCTGGTGTTGCCTATCGCCGATGCTTTTTCCATCTCTTTCGCCTTTGTCAACCACCACTGTTCACGGTCCTTGCGGAGACTTTTCGTAAGTTTCCTCTTGTGCAGCTTTCGCTCCTCATTGAATTCGGAGCTCGCCGGAATAAGTCTTCTAGCATCTATCAGTTCGGATGAGGCAGTCGAAATCCAATGGTTTTTACTCACCTTTGGATTTACCTTATTCACAGCTTTTACAGCTGTATCTATGGCTGACTGAATATTCTTCCAGGCTTCTTCAGGGTGAGCGCAGCTGTCAAACTCAGATATGTGTTTAGCTAGTTCTTCCTCAAATAGGGACTTAGTTTGCTGATTGAGCTGGGGACGTGATGGTTTTACCGCCAGCTGTTTCCTACGTCCGTTCAGTCGTAAGCACACACGAGCGCGGACCAGTGCGTGATCGGTATCTACACACGTGTTCCAGAAGGAGCGACAATCTCCTACCGACCCACGCCAACGATAGCTTATTGCTATGTGGTCTATTTGTGTCCAGCGTTGATTTGATGATGGTGGTCGCCAGGTCAAACAGTGTCTCTCCTTGTGTTTGAAGTTAGTGCTTACAAGATACAAATGATTATCTGAACAGAACTGTAGGAGACGGTCACCGTTGTCGGTTCGCTGGCACGGAATTCCCTATGTGCCACCAACATTCTTCTCAGATTGACACAATTTCCCTACTTGAGCATTAAAGTCACCAGCTAAAACGACTATATCTGAGCGTCTAGCCTTTCGCAGCAAACTGGACAGCTTTTGGTAGAACTCATCCTTCGTTTCATCCGAACTGCAGTCGGTGGGGGCGTAGGCGGAGATTACGAAAAGGCATCGGCGAGTAGTGCAGTCCTTTCTCCTTTTCACTGATCCGTTCAGGCGGACAGCGCACATTCGGCTATCTACCGGGATCCAGTCAAGTAATGTCTTTTCTGCTCTAGTACTTAAAGCTATCCCAACACCAGCTAATCCTCGTGAGCTAGCCGTCGCATCTCCTGACACCCTCAAGGTGAATTTTGCAGATTCATCCTGTTGGCCAGGTGGGGTTAGGTGAATAACCACACTTGGGTCTTGTATGCGTGTTTCTGAAACACAACATACATCAATGGCTCGGGATGCCAGAGTCTTGGCTAGTGATGCTTGTTGTCCTATTTGGCAAAGTGTCCTAACATTAAATGCTCCTATATAAAATTGGTGGCGTGGTTTTAGGAGACAATCGGTGGTGGCTTTTTGGCTTCCATCGTTATCAGTGCACACAGAGTGAAGGGGAAGTGAAGAGCCAACAAGTAGAGGAGTTGCATTAGTAGAAGGAAGGCAAGATAATAGAGATGAAGATGAAGACAAAGATGAGCGAGGATTAGAGGGGTTTCGCGTGCACTTCGGATTGTGAGGGCGATTGTTACTTCCCGGCTGCCCACACCGTGGAAGTTGGTTGCGTGACCGCAGAGCCCAGGGGACAACTGCTTGAGGCCGGTCACACACGGCCTGTTTTTGTTTGTTCTTTTTTATTTGGTGTGTCTCAGTAGCGTATTTATCACTTCTGCCCTGTGACACGGCAGCAGAAAGCGCGGTCGTTGTTAATCCGGGCCCCGACCGATCCGGCATGATATTTTGTGATTTATTTGAAATCATAGGATTGGATTGGGTAACTGCTTTTAGTCTAACTGCTATCCAAACAACCTTTCTGGCATGGTAGGACCTGCAGGAACAGAAGTTCCAGCCAGTATAGCTTGTTGGGTCATTGCAGTGTTCAAGCCCGACCACCACGTCAAGGTAGCAGCTATCGGTCGGGACACATTCACTGTACTTAGAACACAGGACATCGATAAGTTTTTCGAACACATTGACTCAAAGGTGGAGGCAATTCAATTCACTTATGAATTGGAAAGTCAGGAAGGGGAGCTTCCAATGTTAGATTGTAGCGTAAAAAGGGAAGATGGCAAGTTAAACACTAGTGTTTACAGGAAACCCATACAGTGAAACCGATAATTGGATTTCGGATCATCCCACCTTATGTTAGTAGAAATAGGATTGCTTAAATGTTTAAGTAATAGGGCACAAAAACTAAATAGTACCAAGGAAAATCTAAGACAGGAAGTGAAGCATATAAGACAAACTTTACAACTTAACAATCACTTTGATAAATTAATCAGGAAGTAAGTAGGAAAATGTAAAAATAAAATAATAATAATGGTAGTGATAGTAATAATAATATTAATGACGACATACATGTCAAACATGCACTGAATGATGACATCAACAATAAGGAATCTAAATCATCAGTTGTAATTCCATACAAGGAAGGAACCTCGGAAACCTTACGCAGAATTCTTAACAAGGCAGGAATAAAAGTGGCTGTCATTCAAACCCACAAACTCAATTAGAAACAAGCTTTGTCGGTTAAATGATCCTGTGGAGCCTTTAGAACAAAACAATTTAGTTTATCTAATACCCTGCCTGCAATGACTGTCAGGTCAAATACATAGGTCAAACTAGTAGAACAGGGGCAGTCAGACTAGCTGAACATAAAAACTTAGCAAAATGTAGATTGGTTGAC